GTGGAAGGGGTACCCTATAGCAGAAGCCTCGTGGATACAACATATGGATGTAGCAACTCCACGGCTGCAATGGCTCTACCACCACAAACATCCCACAAAGGTGGGTAGGAGGGATGATAATATCCACAGTGTGTCTTCTAACACTGTCTTTTATTTTACAGGCAGAGCCATGTTGGGCTCAGGGAGCTTACTCGCTGCTAGGAGCGTGCCCAGAGCCCAACACTTCACTGACATGTCTCAGCTCGGATGGGATGCCTACTGCTCCATGCCGTTGGTAGAGCTGATGACCGCAATGCTCTTGGCGCACCGGCTGCAAGCATTTTACAGGCTGGAGTGGATTCCTGGATGATGTCACACTAGCACGAGCCGCGATGCGGAACTGCACATCAGGGTTGTGCCAATCAGCTGTTTTGCAGGGAGTCAGAGATTCACGGACATTGGAAAGGCACAGGGAGACAGGGGATGGGGGAATACATGGGGGATAAAGACAGAGAGGAGAGATGCAAACAAGGAAGCCACGGGGTGGTGTGACAGACTGGACTGAAACAGTGATGGCATAACAAGAAAAAGCCAGGGCTAGGGGATGCAATTAGACACAGGGAGGAGGCACAGGGGATATGGGGTTAATGAGCAGATGTAGGTTAGCTGGAGGGGTTAGGAAAACAGCATAAAAAGTGCTGAGAGGCAGTTGTTCTCAACACTAACTTTGTTCAGGATCTCCATTTTTCCCTATCAGGATTGGAAGTGCTGCAATAAACTTCAATATTCACCAAAATGCTTGTGAGTAACATTGTTTGTCTGCAAGACTTAGCCAGTACCCAACTGGGGCTGAAACCTGGCCTGATAAGTTAATTCTACTTCAGTGTAATGCAATGTTAACAGAATCATTCAAGCCTGAAAGTACAGTACATCTGCCATCAATGCTCCTGTTTTACAGTCCAATAACTTAGGGAAGGTTTCTCCAGAGTTTCTTGCTCAATCCATTATACAGCTGTGGCCTATATTCCCTGTTATCTGACTGTTCCCTAGGCAGTGTCTATTCACTCAGTCTCTGAGGTAATTCCAAATATAATTCCAAATGTCTCTTGTTGATGTTGAACCAAAAGATCTGTAAAAGTGCATGCAACTTATTTAGGCTGAAGCCCCATGCACATTTATCTGAAAGTGAGTCTTGATGATGTGAATGTTCCAGATAGACACAATAAAATTACATTGTCAAGCATCATATTTCAATTTTTAAAAATAATAGGTTATCTTTAGAATCCCATGAAGGAAGCAAAGGCATTCAATAATGACCAGTATCAATTTTTAAAGACATTTTCAGATTACTCACAGGATTTATCAATCATCCTCTTTACAAAAGTTGCAGTATGAAGTGTAGATTACACTTCCACAATGGTATACCCCAGGCAACATTCTGTCTTAACAGAGCAGCAGAACAAAAGTCCATACACCTGGCAACTAAACTGAATATTGCATCCTTCATGTCAAAAACCACAGAGGCAGCATGATTGCATGACTTCTGTAGATGCAATACAATAAGCAAACAAAAAATAAATAAAATTTACAAAAATTCAATAGAAAAATTGCATTAAATTGTGAAGTCAGATACAGAAACACGGACCTCAAACAGTAAGCATGATCTTCAAATTGAATATTTCAGAATAGATTTCAACAGTGCTTACCTAAATAAAAAATAATAAAATAAAAGGAAAACACACTTTAAAAAACAACAGCTGGAAAGCTATCAGAAACATATGCAGAGCTGTTCTAATAATTCCAAACCATCAAAAATTAGTCACAAACATTAATTGGAAAAGAATAGCTAATAGAGAAATGTGAAATTAATTTTTCACTAGAAATGGCCCTTACCATGGAATTTCATGCTTGCGTTTCATAAATCAAAGAAATGTTTGATTTAAAATGTTGTTTTAACCAATAGATAATAGCAAGGTGTGTGATCTAATGTGAGACATCAACAGTTCTCCTAAATTCAGGAATGTTTGCTGCATCTCTATGATGGGGTTGGAGTATATTGAGAAGGATACTATACCGTCCGGCTGATGTTACTCAATAATTATATCTTTTCATACTCTGTAATTTTTAATACTTATGACATCTTTCAGCTCAAAACATGTCTCATCTGCTGTATGAGTCAAGCTACTCAGATAACAAAATCATGTGAAATTCTTCCTGGAAACATCTATTTCTTATTTCTAATTCAGATTGGAGAACTGAATGTATCAAGGCTCTAATATTTAAACAGAGCAAAGCCCATATCTTTAATGCATGTAAAGATAAAAGGTGCCTAGTGGGAATCAGTGATAGCTATTAAGAAGGCTAGTCAAAACTACATCAGTTCAAGGCCACCAAGCACTGTGCCAAGTAGCCATTAATTCAAAGCAGCAGAATGAAGTCTAAAGTTTAAAAAATTAGAACACTGAAAAAAATTCTGACATCAGTTTTGGGAAAGGCTTCATTCTTGACTGTAACAATAGAACTATTTGGTATAAAACACACTAAGCTATGGCCCAAACATTGGCATATCTAATTGAAGATTTGGAAATCTAGGATCCTGTCTTCCTGACACTCCTCTTCCACATATGCAGGAATAGATGCTAGAACTGGGGAAATTTTCTGATTGCTGCCATATTTTCCATTTCCAGGTCATAATTCCAGGAATACTCAGAACTGTAAACTGATTAAAATAGAACATTCCCAAACAAGGATGGACAGAACAGTATTGTGTTTTTTTTCCACTGCTTTTCTTCATTAATTAATTAATTAATCTGCATGTTAAAATCTACTCATGGGGAAATATGTTTTAAAAATTCATACTTTTAAATGTACGCTCTTACATATTACTAAATAAAATGCTTTCAGAACAATAAATGCATTCTTTGATGAAGGAGAAATTTCTAATTTTGTATTTAGCATAGATCTTTGAATGTATCACAATATTTTGAAAAATCATCAAGATAGCTAACTCTGCACCCATCTACACATTCTTCTGAGGAAAAGAGAATCAACTCGGCTCACAAACACTGTTGTCAAATATATGCTACACTTGTTTCCTTCAAACTTGTTGACAACAATGCTCCTATGTCAATCCTCCCATCTCTTCTACAAATCTTGGACCTCCTTTCCCTGTAAACAGATTTTCTTAATTATAGTTGACTCTGCCTTTGCTCAACAAATGGGTCAAATTAAATGTCAGTGATGCAATTTTCAGATGCATTGCACAAAGTAACAGATAATTAAATTGGGAATTCTATATGGCAAATATAAATTCCTAATTATGGATAAGAGAGATCTGTTGGAAAGTTACTTATTTTTTCTTTAGTTATTGATTGCGTTTATATCAATCCTCACAAATGCTTCATTTGTTTGGTTTAAGATAAAGCGCATGGAAATTTCCTGTACTTTTTTCTACAGGAAACTTCATGACACTTAATCTCAACTGCACAAATAGTTCTAGACACAGTCACAGGGAAGTGACTGGCTGAATTACATGCAGAGATGTGCCATATATATTTATTTTGTACTGTTTTAATTTTATAAATGTAATGTAGCAGTCACTTGCTGATATGGATGGCTATAGAAATCAAATAAATAAATAACCAACCATGATGTGCATTGTTTACTTTGGACTTAGCACAAAATTGAACCAAGCTAATATTCATTTTTAAACATATAGCAATAACACTTAGACTTATATACTGCTTCATAGTGCTTACAGCACTATCTAAGTGGTTTAGAGTCAACATTTTGCCCCCAACAATTTGGGTCTTCATTTTACCAACCTCAGAAGAATTGAAGGCTGAGTCAATCTTGCGCCGATCAGAATTAAACTCCTGTCAGTGGCAGAGTTGGCTTGCAATGCTGCATTCTAACCACAGCACCACTGCGGCTTCTATAAAATGTTAAAACAACTTATAGCTTGCTGCAAAGAGATCCATGCAAACATGCAAAGATATAATGGTTTAAATTTCTCCATATTTTTAATTTATTCAGGATGCAGAATTTTTGATGGCCACTGTGGGATAGGAGTTAAAGGACTAGACTAGCTCTAGGGACATCCAGGTTCAAGTCTATCATTAGTCACAGAAGCTACACTAACTACACTAAGCACTATATATGTTGCCTTGAGCTTGCAAAGTAAAGTATGATGTAAGTCTAACAAGTAAATAAATCAAAATCTTAACATAGTCTAACTTTTATTTTGAAATGCAAAAGGCAGAAAAAACCCACAACAGCGTTCCCAAAATGAGGCAGGTGCAGTGTTTCTTATACTGATTGGATGTGATTTTTGGAAACAGAATCTAGAATTTAGAAACATTTACCATGACAAGCATTTTGATGATGATGATGATGATGATGATGATACTATGATAACCACAATGCTAGCACTAAACATGTTAGTATTTTTAAAAGCATTTGAACAAGTGGTACTTGCCATCCATACATTTCTGAATTTGCCTGAAGGTGGCTACTATGAAACTACCCAATTGCCATATGCAAACACAAGTTGAAAGAATACTTTTGGATGATCCTTTTTATACTTTTTAGAACATGACTGGCTGTGTCAGGCCACATCTTTGATCAATATTATTTTATTTCTAAAGCAATATGTCATTTCCAGCTTCAAGTCAAAACAGTATCAGATGATATATACAATACAGAGGAACACACATACAATCACCTTTCTATGGATCACTCCTCTGTTTTTTTTTTTTTTTTTAACAAAAAGGATCTCAGGCTGTCACAGGAAGAGTACATTTTATAAAGAGGTATTTAGCACCTCCAGATGACCTCCAGATGAAATGCATCATGCCATTTAAATTCTGCCTGTCAAACGCTATGAAAAAGATTAAGTAAATATAAATGCCATTAAAGGGAGAAGTTATCTTAGTTGGACAAGTTTGAGCGTTTTGAATTCTGACAGCTTCCAATTTGGATGCCTTCCAATGTCAATAAAACTTGTTCAAGCAGAACCTTACCTGGTTTTCACCACATCGAGGGGATGCATCAGGCAAATTTCTACAAGACCTGTAAGATGATAGAAGAGAGAAGCCTGGTAAATATATTTGATCTCCACAACTATTGAAGTATCAAATGTTCTAGTGCTAAGCATGTTTAGCATGGGAAACACGGATAACACAAAAGCTTGTTCTTTTCAAATTAGCCCAGTGTCTTCTTTTGAGACAGTCAAGTTTGGGGGGAGGGAATTAAGCCTTGATTAAAAACTGTATTGAAGTGTTAAACTTGAGCCAAGACATTATAGTCTGAAATTAAAGATATCTCACTAATTCAATCTGCAATTTTACCCATATATTATTTCTCTGCAGCAGTGCCACATTTGCAGTTTGGGAATCTTGGAATACTAATGCTAAGTGTTAGAATCGTGTGGTTCACATGAAGGGGGCAAATGATGAAACTTACATTGCAATAACACAATACCTGCTATGAGATTTATTTACCTGCATGCAATGTCAGAATGCAAGTACAAAAGGCTGAGTTTCTGTTATGACATTATAGATAGATAACCTTCATTATCATTTTTTACTGTGGATACACTGGCACACATTAAAAATGAAGTTCTGTTGCCTGCTCTCAAAAGTGTTCATATACATAACACACATATATAGATATCACGAAGCCTCCTCCCAGAAAGTAACAAGGAAAGTAGATCATGGAGAGGATGTGTAGTGTCCCAGACAATACTATGGACCCTGGTGAAGCATCGCTTACATGCTATGTCCTGGATAGATGGAAGTGAACTGCCAATAATCTCCTCACCACTCTCTGCATCACCTTCTTATCAGATGCTTCCAAACCAGAAAGTAATGCAGTATCACTAGTTTACTTTACTTTATTGTCATTGCACCTCATACAATGAAATTAAATACCATTAAATACACCATGACTATGAAAATAAACACAAACACACCCCTTTCACATTCTATATATTGAATTGAAAACCCCTGATATTGCATTAATATAGCACTATACAGTAGAATTCGATAAGAGTTTCTGCCTTGGAAAGAAGCTGTTTTTCAGCCTATTTGCCCTTGTTTTTATTATCCCATACCATCTGCCAGATAGTAATAATTCATAAAAAGGGTGCCCAGGATGAGATGTATCTTTGAGAGTGTTTTGACCTTTCTTAAGGCAGCGGGAGCTATAGAGCTCCTCCAAAGAGGGGAGAGGGCAACCAATGATCTTCTGGGCAATGATGTTAACCCTCTGGAGTGCTTTCCTATTTGCCACTGTGCAATTGGCAAACCAAGTGCAGTAAGTTAAGATACTCTCTGTGGTGCAGTGGTAGAAGATCACCAGCAGTTTTTCATTCAGTTGTTGTTTTCTGAGAAGTCTCAGGTAGTGTAATATCTGCTGGGCCCTTTTGACCAGGGCTGCAATGTGAGCACTCCAGATCAGGTCCTCTTTTATGGTAATACCCAGAAACTTAAAACTGGCCACTTGCTCCACATGACAGGATGCTCTCGATTGTCCCTCTATAGAACGTCCCTCTATAGAAAGGACAGGGGAAGGAAGATGTACTTTTCTCATGCGATGCAGAAATTGCAGCCTCTGCTTGCCCGCTTCACCAGTGTCTCGCTGTTGAGCAACCAAGCCAGCCTACTTGTTAACCGCACACCTAGAAATTATGAGATGTATTTCACCATTGTTACATAATCTGTTACTATTTATAATCGATTTCTCTTTGGTCTGATGCTAAAAAACCTGGTTAAGTCAAGTGAATTGTATTTGATATAAGATTAACTAGGTGGATGGACTAGAGTATTTAATAGTCCCTCCACATAGATTTTCTTAACCTGACCAATATATTGCATTGACCAGTAATGGAGCACCTACTTTGCAACGTGATCCTCCTCACAATCTCATCTGTGTCCAGGATTTCTGCTTCATTCCCTTGATTCTTCTTTGCCTTACATAGTGCCAGGCTTCTGAACTGGGTCCAACTATATGGTATTTATTAATTCTTGCTCTTAGCCACAAGGGTGTTTCTACCAGCAGTTTGTTCAGTCCAAATCTCTTTTGTAAGAGGGTATTTGGAATTTCCCAAAGTCTACTTTAATAATAAATATAACATCTCATGAACATTTGCTATAACATTCATTATAATTTTCTTAGCTTCCTCTCCTCTCCTTTTCTTGCAGGCATTTTTCCAGCAAATAAATCAGATTAATTCCACTTCCATTGGCAGCAAATATATTTTGGTAACTTCAACATTTTATCTGCTTTTGTGTTTCTTAAAGAATAAAAATCTCTTCTTTGTTCTCATCATTTAATTATACAGTAGTTTTGTCTAGTTAGTTCATTTCCCAAGGCAGCATTCTCTGCATAATAGCCAAGAATATTGTATGCAGATATGGAACAAGGAAGGATGGGTGGAAAGAGGGAGGAATGGGAGAGGCAAGAAGGGAGTAAAAAGAACAATAACCACAGCAACTGCAAGTGTTATAATTAAACTGATAAAACTTGATATACATTCCTTATCAACAATAACAATAACAATAACAATAACAACAATAACAATAACAATAACAACAACAATAATAATAATAGTAATACAGACAGTCGAAGAATAGAAACATGCTCTGGCAGATTATGTGAAAGACAGTGTTGAACCAGCTTTGATGGAGGTCAACAAGAGGAAGCTGCTCAAAGTGCAGCAAACCAAGGATCAATACAGGAAAACAGCAATGCAAACTCAGGCTGACAGCTGGTGTAACAAAGCACTACATGGACAGTTCCTTGAAAAGATCCAAGGGAAAATAGATAAGGAAGCGACCTGGTTATGGCTGATCAACGGAACACTGAAGAAAGAGACAGAAGGCCTGTTTCTTGCAGCCCAAGAACAAGCCATCAGAACAAATGCAATCAAAGCCAGAATAGAAAAAACTGCTGATGACCTCTAATGCAGACTCTGCAAAGAAGCGGATGAAACCATTGATCACATACTGAGCTGTTGTAAGACAATTGCTCAGACTGACTATAAACAATGTCACAACACAATCGCTCAGATGCTCCACTGGAATTTGTGTCATAACTATCATCTGACTAGCAAAGAACTGGTGGGATCATAAGCCTGAAAAAGTGGTCGAAAATGAGCGTGCAAAACTACCATGGGACTTCTGAATACAGACTGATAAAAGTTTTGCAACACAACACCCTGGATATCATGATTATGGAGAAGAAGAAAGTGTGGATCGTCGACATTGCCATACCTGGTGACAGCAGAATCAATGAGAAACAACTTGAAAAAAATCACCAAATATCAGGACTTGAGAATCGAACTGCAGATATTCTGGCATAAACCAGTGCAGCTGGTTCCAGTGGTACTCAGCACACTGGGTGCTGTGCCTAAGGACCTAGGCAAGCACTTAAAAACAATTGGCACTGACAAAGTCACCATTGGTCAGCTGCAGAAGGCCACTTTACTGGGATCTGCTCACATAATCCGCTGATACATCACGCAGTCCTAAACGCTTGGGAAATGTTTGACTAGTGATTTGTGATACAAAATCCAGCATAGTTATCTCGTTTGCTGTGTGCTTGCTTTTTGTGAATAATAATAATAATAATAATAATAATAATAATAATAATAATAATAA